CATGTGCTTAATTTTTTTGTACTCCTCTTTAAGCTCATTCACTTTGACGCTGCACTGACGTGGTGTCTTGTTAAACCCCACCAGTGATAGCTCACTGCTGAGGTACGTGAAAACCTGATCGCTCGCTGCGGTGAGAAGCTGTTTCTGAATGTTTGGTTGTGCCCAAAGTGTCACCAGCACTTGGACTTCATCAGGCAACCACAGCGTTTCATCTGAAAATGCACAGAAATTTAAGAATAAAAAAAAGTGCATGAATTATGACTTATGTTTACCTAAGAAACACAAAAATATTATTTATTATAGAATTAAAAGTAATCAATTTGAGAGATAACTTGTCAAAACCACAGTTATGAGGACACAGTTAGGTCAATAACTACTCTTAATGGTAGGAGTTATTTCATAGTAGTTTATTTCCAACTTACCATCTGTATCCACATCCAGGGCAACGGCCTGTACAGCTAGGGAGTGCACTGTAGAGGAATTCTGCACTGTCTGTGAACGCTTTGCTGTGAGAGCCTGGGAACTGAGGACTTCATCCATAATGGCAAACCACACACTGCTGCTTCCACCCCTGTATTGGCCGTTCTTGATCCTCTTGTACTCCTGCTTTAGCTTTTTGATCTTCTCCCTGCATTTCTTTGGTGCTTTGTTAAAACCGAGCAAGGCCAGTTTGGAACTGAGACAAGTGTAAACTTTATTATTTCTCACGTTGAGGAGAAGCTCCCGTTGAACCTCGGGGTTTGCCCAAAGCGTCAGCAATGCTTGGACCTCTTTACTCGACCAACAACACAAGGGGGTGTCTGTGAAAGTAACAGAAAATTATTTATTCAAGCCGTAAAGCAGCCTTACTTGTAAATATGTTTGGCTTGATAACTACTTGCCTTTGATTGACGTTTGTACAGCAGTGGAGGTGACTGGATTGCTTGTAGAAGGACCATCAAATTCATGAAGCTGAACAGAATAGAAAGAAGATACTTGTGGAATCCCTGCAGGACAAGCTTTTGGTCTGGGCAGAGTGAGTTGCAGTGAATGGGTGGATGTCGTACAGCTTTCTGGAGTGTCTGTTACAGCGGGTGGACCTTAAAGAGACAAATAACTAATTAAAATTGGCAAAACTGGGAAGTTAATGTGTTATTCAGTACTGTCCAAAAGTCTTGAGCCACCCTCAGTTTCTTCGTTTTTCTATGTAAGTGCCTTCTCTCTCAAATTCACGCACATTCATAGTCCGATGGATGCATCGGAGAGCAACTTGGGGTTACTCCAAAGACATTTGGCATGCAGACTGAGGATTGATCATTAGAAAGAGTAGTAGCTCTACCTCATGAGCTACAGGCACCCCATATAAGGCATAACAGAGTTTGTACAGTTCTAAGGTGCTTGAAAGTCAATATTTGATATGACCATCTTTATGGGTGATCGTGGCTCAAGAGTTGGGAGTTCGCCTTGTAATCGGAAGGTTGCCGGTTCGAGCCCCGGCTTGGACAGTCTCGGTCGTTGTGTCCTTGGGCAAGACACTTCACCCGTTGCCTACTGGTGGTGGTCAGAGGGCCCGGTGGCGCCAGTGTCCGGCAGCCTCGCCTCTGTCAGTGCGCCCCAGGGTGGCTGTGGCTACAATGTAGCTTACCATCACCAGTGTGTGAATGTGTGTGTGAATGGGTGGATGACTGGATATGTAAAGCGCTTTGGGGTCCTTAGGGACTAGTAAAGCGCTATATAAATACAGGCCATTTACCATTCCTCAACACACCTTTTACTCTCTTATGCAAGCCTTCTTTTGGAAATTAAATGAAGAAAAAAACTTTTCCTCTGAATATGGTCAGGTCTGGATTTAAAATAAGTGAAAAAGCAGCCAGTGCCCAGAGAAAAAGTTCAGAAAACCTGGAAAACTGTTGCTAAAGACCACTTTTTAAAAAAAATTAAGAGGTGAGGAGTGACTCAAGCCTTTTGCACAGTAATGAGCAGCAAAAACATTAAACAGAAACTATAACAAAACAGCTTGCATCAAGTTCAACAGCTCAGTATACTAAAATACAATATAACATACAAAAACAAACTAAACAGACAGTAAAATAGAGAAGAGAAGCAAGAATCCATATAAAATCTAACTGCTGTTAGTATTTGCTGTACTTTGCATCTGTATTTAATTTATTTCTCTCCAACTTACTTGCTTCCACATCAGGAACCATGACTTCCAGTACCACAGAAGACGGCCGCTCTCTGCTCTGTGTCCGGGCACTCTTGTCACCCATGATAGTGTCCATAGCATCATACCACCTGAAGGTCTTTGTGACTGCCTCACTCCTTTCACCGTGTCTCCTCGTGTTTCTGTATTCCTGTTTAAGTTTCTTTATCTTGGCTCTGCACTGTTTAGCAGAGCGGCTTATTCCCAGAGCAGCCAACCTCCCTGACATCTCCCTGTAAACGGTCTCGTTTCTGAAGGATTCCTCCAGGTCACGCTGGATTTTCTCCTCTGACCACACACCGATAAGCGCTTGGGTCTCTTCATTAGACCAGTGCACCAGCGGCTCCATGATCTCTCCTTTCTTGCAGTTCAGAAATCCAGAGCAACTAAGAGAAGCTGGAATGTTTTCACTTTTTTTTTTCAACATGGCGCTCCTTCCTCCTGTCGCCCAAATGACGTCACCTCATTGGAGCCAGTGAAGTGGAGCGTTGCCTAGATACGGCTCGGCTGAGGGCGGAGATAGTGGTTGATTACGGTTTGGCTCGTATAGCGGACCAGAGGCGTGCCATCCTGGGCCAGTGGAAATGCGCGGTTAGGTGCCACATTGGTGACAGAAACCGCCCCGTAGTTATGGACTGAACTGAGACCAGTGTTGCCAACTTAGCGACTTTGTCGCTATATTTAGCGACCTTTTTTCTAAAAAGCGACTAGCGACAAATCTGGCGACTTTTTCTGGTGTTATTGGAGACTTATTTATGACGACTTTTTGGCGTGAAAGCGCATATCGCTCTTACTCTCAATAAGCAGCGGGTGCTGCTGCGGTGGGCACCTCGCCCGTGCCAAAGCTCACAGGCCAAGGATAGTCCTCCCCCAGCGGCTATCAGGGCAGGAGATGTTCACACCTATGCGTCCAAACTGCAAATGAATCGCGCATGAGCGAAGCCGCTGCTCCCGCACTGACTGTAATGCAGTCAGTTCTTCTTTTACTATTATGTTGTTTTGTGGACCACAAGGTTTATAACTACTTATAAACACACACACACACAAGGTAACGCCACCAGAGTGCCTATTTCGGGTCACTTTTGCCGGTCCAAGCCCGGAAAAGGAGCAGGGTTGGAATTGTTACATTAAAAAAAAACAATAATTGCTAAAATAAATTTAATTTGTAGTTCTAAATAAATTATAAATGCATTTAAGACGTTTTTTTACTGACTTTATGTCTCTTCCACGATATTATTTCTCTCTCCAACAGGGTAGGTTACAATACATTAGCATGACCAATTATGCTAATTAGATGACGATGACGTCATTTAGCGACTTCTAGCGACTTCTAGGACAGCCAATAGTGATTTCCCTTACTGAGGAATTGGCAACACTGGACGGCACCGCGACAGGGCGTTTCCATGAAGTTAAAAAAGAGCAAGCGGCATCATTTTTCGGTTGGAAGTGGCACACTTAAAATCCGACGGTTTCTTTAGTTATGGTTCCGGCGATATATATAAATAAATAAAATAGGAGGACCTGTAAGCGGTTTTACTGTGCTGTCGTACAAATGGTTACAAGAAAGCGAGCTAGCTGTTCCTGGACCACTGTCTTTAATAGGAGGCTTACTATACAGTCACATAAAACTAGGTTTAAAACATTTTAACATGAATGGGAAACAGTTGCAGCAATTTATTGAAACATATGCAAACATACTTGGTAATATAATAATAATAAAAAAGCAAAAAAAGACTTCAGACACAGTCTGAACTATATATAGTATATTACACTAAGAATATAAAACAATACTGAAACTAATTAAAAAAATATACACTTAGTATAGTAGTTCAACACTACTAGTAAGAACTATAATAAATCTTCTGCCTGTATATTCAGATACACTAATAGAGGCATTTTTCTTTATTATAGTTATTTTGGTTTTTTTAAAGCATGTTGTTTACATACTAAAGCTATCTAAATTCAGGACATTCAGAAGACAGTACGGTGGGCATATTGTTGTCGTGAATTAAAATTTAACAAAATACACCAGTGAGAGATGTTTGCCACAAATATTTATTTTACTGAAAAACATCACAAAAAATACTGAGAGTAAGTATATTTCTTTGGGGGTTACATAAACAAAAATGGAATTCACAGAACCTCATCACATATTTGCATAAGGTTAAATGGTTGTGCACAGATGAAATAAAGGTCGTCTGTTTCTTGATATTACGTGAACACACACACACACACAAAACAACTATCAGTTTTAAATCACAAATACATGAATTATATCACTAAAACTATTTGAAAGGCTTACAGTTCATGTTTCATTTAAAAAAAAAAAAAAGCATGTGGTGGAAGTAGTTTTAATTACTAAAATTTCCACAAGAATAGGACAAGTTAAAATGTTTCGTGGCAACACTACAGCATTTTATTACACAGCAGTTTATCTACAGTCACATGCGCTGAAATACTTTTGTTTATATGATACTCATCTCTTAAGTGTTTGCTATATTTAGATAGCCTCTTCAATAGCATGATGCTGGGAAAACATTTTTATCAATGAACATGACTTTTTTTTCTACATAAAATGATTAACAACATTTTAATTCACAATCAGAAATGCTCTTGGCTACCTTAATTTCCAGATAATGTGACATTTTGGCTAACTTCATCACCTAAAGTTAATTTGTCACATTGCCTTATTTTAAGAACATAAACAGTGGATTCTTCATTAAGATGCTCCAGCTAGTCAGGCACTGATTATAGCACGCTATAACTCTGGTCTGTAGAGTCAATGATTCCTAACATCACTTTAATGACTCAGTGCCTCAACATTAAAACACTTTTATTGAAATGTCAGCGTTTCTTCAGTTAATAATCATCGCTGACCTCCTCTTCCTCATCAAACTTCCTCTTGAGGGAGAGCTTCTTTTGCTTACCCCTGTGCCTCCGCTTACCGGAGAAATCAGGGTTGGCTTCTCTCGTGTGCAGCTGTTCGTGTTTCTTCAGAAGTCCGGGGACAGAGAATCCCTTCCCGCATGTGTCGCACGTCCAGGGCTTCTTGCACGTATGTGTCCTTTTGTGGACGTTCAGGTGGGATGCCAGCTTGTAAGTCTTCCCGCACACATCGCAGCTGAAGGGCCGCTCATTGGTGTGCAGCCTGATGTGGACCTTTAGATTGCCAACCTGAGTGAAGGTCTTTTCACATATAGTGCACCGGTAGGGTCTTTCTCTGGTGTGGATCCTCAGGTGAACCCTCAGGCAGTACTTGCTGGAGAATTTCTTTTGGCAGACAGGACATGGGATCTTTGCTTTGGGGACATGGTCCTGCTGGTGTCTCTTCAGGTCAGACAAATAGACAAAGGTCTTTCCACACTGGGAACAGAGATACTGGCGGTCGCCAATGTGGTAGCCCATGTGTCTCTTCAGCAGGCTGGGGACGAGGAATCTCTTCCCGCAGCGCTCACACATGTGAGGGCGATCTCTGGTGTGCCAGCGCTCGTGGTTCGACAGCTTGAAAGCCGTAGGAAAAACTTTATTGCAGTGCTTGCAAGGAAACGTCATCTGGCTTGTGTGGCACTCCATGTGTCTTTTGAAGTAGGTGGACTGCGTGAAACCCTTGTTGCAGATGTTACAAAAAAATGGCTTTTGCCCACTGTGGGCGAGAATGTGCTTCGTCAGGCTCTGGAGTTTTGTGAAACACTTCCCGCACTGCCCACAAGCGTAAGGACGAGATGCGTTGTGGGTCTTGAGGTGGTTGTTTAGGAAAGCCTGTGTTCGGAAACTTTTGTTGCATGCTGAGCAGTGGAAAGGCTTCTCTCCTGTATGAATTCGTTCGTGGTCCATCAGCTTGGACTGATAGGGGAAGCTCTTATCACACACACTGCAAGTAAACCTGTCGCCCAGAGGCCTAAATTGCTTTTTTCTTCTTATGCTTGGCCTTGCGTCATCTCCAGCACTCAGCCTGGGTGGAGGAAGAGGTGGCAGGGCAGGGAGTGACAGAGAGTTGGAGGCTATCTGTGACACCCACTGATGCAAAGTGACACGCTGAGTCTGGGGCTTCTGGCCATCTTTTGTTCCCGCACCATCTGCATTTGGTAAAGTGGGAGCAGTTTTGCACGGCACCGTAACTACCCTGAAAGGGATTGATTTCAAAGGCAGTGGCTGTGGTGCTGGTTTCTCTGCTTCTGATGGTGGCGGTTGGGGTGCATTATTCTCTTTGCTCTGCGGAGTTGGAGCAGGCTGTTCTTGTGCAGAACTCTCTTTCTGCACCAAATTCTCCTTTTGAGCTGCTGTTGTGACACTCCTTTCCTTTGATGCAGAGCTATAAAGTGTTTTAAAATCATACCGCCCCCTGCGCGGAGGACTGTAAATGTTGACTGCTGGGCTGTCAGGGTCATCTGAAATTACAGCCACGTCTTCGGTGTCACTGACGGAAGTTTGGTTTGTTTCTTTAGCTGTGACCTCTACTGTTTTTGGAGATTCTGGTGGTGGATCAACAGGTTTGGGCCGGAAGGCAAGTGAAGAGAGGACACAGTCGCCCACTGAAGACGAGATAGTGGCTGCACAAAAAGAAGTGCACATTTTTTAAATTGAACTGAACGAGTTATAATACCAACAAGCTTAGACACCCATATATCTGTTGTTATATTTTGATAAAAAAAGGAATAAAAATTAAAAAAACAAAAACTTTCAATCTTTACACAGCCTAAAGTATACCTTTAACACCAAGGAGTCCTTTGGCCTGCTGGTGTAGAAGGAGTGTCTTCAGATCCACTGGATCAGGGATAAAGCCTCCACATGCCTCCAGAACACTGGGCTCCGTTGAAATCATGGCACCAAGCTGAAGTTCAGGCATTAAAATTAATTAATGCTTCTTTCAGTTGCTTCCTTATAAGAAAAGACTCGGCACAGTGGATGGATGCACATTAGGGCTAGGCTATATCATACCGTTCACGATAATATCGGTGTAATTTTGGGCAACGATAGGAAAATGAAATATCGCGATAGAATATGGGTAAAACACACATGCACACTAGGTTTGCATACGCAAATGGCGGCGACGTAGAATGTGAAAAGCGAAAGCGGATCGTTAAATGAAACGGATGAACCAGAATTGGTTTGTAAAAATGCTGCAACTTCAATGGTGTAGAACTGGTTTGGCTTTCGTCCGTCAGATACACAACAAAGCACTATTTTTGGTAGCGCATGCTAGCGGGCCGTCGTTATTACCGTGTTTTTTGGAAAATACGACACACTTAAAATACATCCTTTGATTTTTTCTTAAAATCGACAGTGCCCCTTATAATCCCGTGTGCCTTATGTATGAATTCTGGTTGTGTTTACTGACCTTGAAACGATTTTATGTCGTACATGGCGCTCGAAAATCTGTCAAATGTTTTAGTACGACTTTGCTAAGCTACGAACCCGCACCGCTTGATGGATTGTCGGAGCGTAGGCAGGCGCCTCGCGGAGTGATACGTACTGTGCTTCAACACAATATTACCGTATTTTGTGTTTATCACCTCTTTTTAAGTTTTGTGGATGTTATACATGGTTATGCTGAGGATATGTCGGCCAATTTCCACTGGAAATGCCTTTTGGTTAAACTGTCAGCGAGGAATTTGCACTGTTACATTTTTATATAACTTTAATGCACATAAAAAACAGCTGCTTGTTTAAGTGAAAATACATTGATGGGGTTTTTTCCACTAATAAAGTTGTGGAGTTGTAAAGTATTTTGTCTAGTGTCAATTATATCGTTATTGCAAATTTTCAAATGTATATCGTGATAAATATTTTTGGTCATATCGCCCTGCTCTAATGCACATATTTGATTTGGCACAGATTTTTATACCGGATGCCCTTTTTGGCACAGCCCTTCCAGGGATTTGAGTCTACATTTGTCTACATTTTCACATTAGACAAATAAAAACCTTTAAATAGAGACTTTAAAATTTCTGTTATCAGTGTCAAACAGACAGACAATTAATTTTCTAACTCTGACCTACATTTATGATAAAAAATAATTAGGTGCTCCATTATCCATGGCGTAGAGACGTACAGCAGACACCCTAGCGTGTCTGGACACTTTAATGAGTGTTAAGATGAATAAGAATTATATTATTATATTGCTTTAGTTGTGGCCAATTACGGAACCGGATAAACACTCTGAAAGTCTGCAACAGCATGTTTTGCAACTGAATTTAGATCCTGAGAAAAGACATGTCGGATCTCTAAAAAGTAGCCCACCCTGCTGTGAGAGCCCTGGGATAAATGTCATAAATGTATCACAAAGGCATACCTGGGACAAATTGGGCATAGGAAGAAGTTGCTCCAGCTTGCACACTAAGCCTGCAATCAGAGTCTGCAGTGCTGTGTCAAACTTTGTGCCATACTGAACAGGGAACACTTCCTATTGAGGGAAAAAAAAAATGTTTAACCATGTTGTAAACAGTAAATGGCATATCTCTAAACACTATACTGACAACAAAAGAGGAAATACAAGGGTTACAACCAGTGCCTGTATAATACCACATTAGCATGTTTACCCTGAAGAAGCGCTTCCTCTCAGTAGGGTTCTTAAGCAGATTCTGGACCAGTACCATGAAATTTGTTTGCGATTTCTCCACTTCTGCATCCTTCTGCAGCAGAGGAAACACTTAAACTCAGATTTAATCCACGCATTTAAAAAAAATTGCAAATGAAACTTTCAAGCAGAATAGTTTTTTGCACACCTACCCCTGATAATGTGGAGACCTTTAATTTATTTATAAGAGTCTGTATCGCCTTAGAATCCGGTGGACCGTCTTTACGAAGCAAATCCAAAATGATCTGCAGCACAAGAGCACATTAGTCACCATACAGATTGTATTAACTGCCCCCCGCCACCACCACCAATTGTAGTGTAAAGGAGGCTTGTAAAAAATAAATAAATAAATAAAAAATCACTAATCTAGACTCATACAATTTATGGATTACTCTCAGCTTCATAATCATCAACTAGCATTTGATGCAGACACACAAACAGCTCACCCTTGCTCTCAGCCCCAAGATCAGCTGGGCAGTCTGTTTGAAACTCATGAGGTCAGGAACAGTCTGTACCACCATGGTCACAAACTCCTCCACTTTCCCATACTGCTTAACGTTTTTCTGCCGTACGACCTGCCAGATGTACGAATACGTCAGCTGCAGAGGAGATGCCATAAGGCGAAGGGAGGCCAAGGGAAGGGCACCTGAAAACGAGTTTGAAAACATTACGTTGCACAATGTGGCTCTTACTGTGCTGTTATGAGGCCAATATTTAAAAAAAAAAAAGTCATCTCCGGCATCCACACCCACAAACTTAGCACAAATCCGCCCTGTGTCAGTGATAGCAAATTGGCGCGTTTTGGTCATAGAAAAACTTCAGACGTTGTGCCATTTGTGGGGTTGTGCCATTGCTGCCTGTAGGGGGCGCTGTAGCGCAAGCGGGAGGCTTTTGAAGGCTGCAGAGAAGCCGCAGAGGGTCTGAAAAAGTGCACGCCTGCGTGTGCGTGTGCAATAGTGTAGAGAATGAGCGCCAATTTTCTGCAGAGCTGGATTCAAACTTCAAGTAGATGTTGGGCTCATCTTACCGTTATTCGTGGGAGTTAGCGTAAACGATAATATACAAAGACAAACGAGTGCATCCGGAGGATGGATGTTTTAATTTAAAAGCTTTAGCCTCCTGAGCTAGTTAGCCATGTAACTACTTGTCAAACAGCGCTCAAAAATATCCTGAGAGATGTAACTGCATTCAGGGTGGCTATAGGTTTAGAGGAAAGTGTCTGCTTACTGCAACAGATGGATGGCGTTGCATCTTCTTTTCTCACCGCCTGTCTCGGTGGCGGATAGCGACAGATAGCTTACAAGCGTTAGCTTAGCAACTTACTTGTAGTATGATAGCGTTTTTCCATACTGTGCTCAGGATGCGTCACCACTTCAAGAGACGGTCAACCGACAGCACCAGACAGACTGTAACAGTTTAAATCGAAATGTAACGTTTTTAAAGTAATAAACCGTCTTTAGCTTGAGCGTCAAGCCAGGAAGAATAATGGCGACCGCTTAGCAGCGGCTTTCCAAAACAAAAGTCCGGGTACATCCGGCGGATGTTCCTAAACAATATAAAAGCACCAAAATCTTCATTGTTCAGGAGGAGGAAGAAAAACTATGAAAAGTTTCTTTAAATTATTACAATAGTGAGTCAATTGACAAGGAGGCGAGCTTCATATAATGAATCCAGTGCAGTGTAAACCAGCATTAGGAACAGGCTGTGTATAAATATTCAGTTGGAAATCTTTTTGTTTTTGACTGGGACAAAAGAGAAACAAAACAACCCCCCCCCCCCAAAAAAACAAAAAACAACTAACTGCTCATATACACTCACTTGCCCCTTTAGTAGGTGCACCTGTTCAACTGCCTGTTAACCCAAATATCTAATCAGGCAATATAAACCAAGCATTATATTGAGAGTCAACAAAGCAACGTAATATAAGTAACTTTTGCATGGTTTTTGCTACCAGACAGGTTGTTCTGAGTACAGAAACTGCTGATCTGTTGGGATTTCCCCACAAACATCTCTAAGGTTTATAGAAAATGGTGCAGAAAATGAGAGAAAATAACCAGTCAGCAGCAATCTTTGCTTTTGCACAATTTGAACCTTGAAGCAGATGGGCAACAGCAGCAGACCACACCAGGTACCAATCCTGTCAGCTAAGGACAGGAAACAGGCTATAGTTCACACAGGTTCACCAAAATTGGCCCAAGATTGGCCAGTGATGAGTACAAAATGCCTGGGTAATGTCACTGATGACTGTCATGTTGATGACAGTCATCAGTGACATTAATTAATTTTCATTAATTTTCAACATTTTAGATTTTAAATATTCTAAGCAAGTCTCTACCAATTCTTGCAAAATTATCACACCCTCCGGCAGTGAAGTTTGAGCTGCTTCCATCTGGCTGCAGACACAAATTACGGTGCAGGACTAACAAGTTTTCCTTTGTCGTTGCTGCCATTAATGTTTTAAGTGACAAACTGTGGAGTCCTGTTGTTGTTTTTCTTGTTTGTGTCTGATATTTTTCATTGCGCGCTTGTTTGCCGCTAGTGTACCACAAAATGCCCTTTGGGGATAATAAAGTTGACCATTTTTGGTACTCTGATGATATAGGGTCAGAGTTTGGCATAAACAACATAAATCCATCCAGCCTTTTATTAACAGTTCAGGCTGGTGGTGGCGGTGTAGTGCAGTCAACAAATCTGCAGTAACTGTGTGATGCTGTTATGTTAATATGAAGCAAAATCTGAAAGGAATGTGTCCAGCACCTGATGAATTATTGCCATGATGAATTAAAGCAGTTCTGAAGGCAAAAGGGGGTTGAATCCAACACTATCAAGGCGTACCCAAGGAAGTGGTGATTTAGCATATACACTATTTGCCCTATAAATTAAAAGGCTGAATATTTACCTAAAGCTTTTCAATATAACCTGATTTCTGCTGGCCATGGTCTGCAAGTAAGAAAATTAAATGGTCAATTAAAACTTAATTATTCTATATTATTAGGTGTGTCTTAAAGACATGTAAACGTCAAGTAATTCATCTTGTGTACACCAAATCTTACAAGATCTTAGGTGCTTTGTCGAAAAATGTAATCATTTATAGTCTAACAACATTTGGCCCAAATGCACTGTTTTGTTGAACATAACTTCATGAATTAGTTTTATTGCAACAGTCACAGAGACATTTTATGGGTGGTAGTGTTGTTTGTGAAGAAAAACAGGATGTGGAAAAATTCTCCAAATAAACCTCTGTCCCTTTGGAATAACACCATTCTCTCTGAATACAATACTTTGTTCAGAGGTCATGCATGTCGAAATATTCCCCGAAGAAGAAAAAAGAAAAGAAAAGAATGGAGGCCTTTTATCAAGCCCAGTGTTAAATAAACTTCACATGCCTGAACATGAAGTCTACCATTTCAATTACAAAGATTTCAGGAAGGCAACAAACTTGGTTCACTTTGATGACAAATCAGAATATATGCACAATACCGGCAGAACATCTGCTTAGTAGCCATTTATATGGATTAGCAAAAATAAAGTTCCTTAAAAAAAAAAAAATTCTATTGCAATGAAAACTACAGTAAAAGGCGACAGTATCGTATGCTGTATGCTAATTACAGATGTTACATCCAGCTTTTCCCCACTTTTGCCTCCTCAAAAAAAAAAAAAAAAAAAAAAAAAAAAAAAAAGGGGGGGTGAATGACACGAGGGAGATGAAACAACATTTTCTGATTATTTCACTGCGGTCACCCTATAGACAACAAACACAGCCACACCTTTACAGCAAGGTGCAGCATTGCCAGTTGGCCACTCTGCTTTAACTATGTGCCTCTGGAGGAACAGATGTACAGACATTCACAACACAGACAGAGAGCAGAGGAGTGAGACGGAGGCGTGTAATGTTGTCACCACGTTTCCCCACCCTCAAAGCCAGAAAACTTTTATTGGCTGGGAGTTAAACACCCACTGCTGGAGGGCTGAAGCCCAGAAACCTCCTGAGCACAGCAAAATGTGGAGAAAATAAGAAACTACAAGCAGAGGAGAGTGGAAAGGCTCTCTGCAAATAATTACACTGTAACAGATTTATAGTAGGTCCAATGTGGTGACTGACATCTTGTAAAATTTGCTTTCGTCTGGGTATAAAAGATACTGAACAATCAACAATGTTGCATGTGAATTATCAATATGAGGGGAAAAAAAACAGTTAAAATGCTCCTCCCAAACTGCAGCCATGTCAGTCAGATGAACTGTATAGGTGAAAAACCTCAGGAAAAACAGAGGAAATCCAAGACAAACAGTTTTCAAATATGGGGACAGTATCTAAATATAGTAATTTGTAAATGTGATCAGACCCCTGCAGTGCAAAATTATGGATTTCTGAATTTGGTGAGAGTTACAACGCGCTTTCCTTTCTGCGTTCACAGTATTTTGTCTAGCTCCTGTACATTCACGATATAATTGGGCGTGTTCATCATTTGCATCACTAAAACAGCTGGAAACATTTTTGTAAGTGAAACACGTAACCAAATAACTTAAATACTTCACACACAAATAACATGTTTTCACAAAATACAAATATGAAACCTTTACAAACAGTTCACTATAAAGACAACACTGTTTACACAAAGTCTACGACAGAAAGACATTTTACCAAAGATATATCCATATTTCATGGGTGTGTTTTGGAAGTTAATCATTCAAATACAGTCAACTGTTATTGAATACTAACCGGGCTCTGTAGGGTGCTTAGCCTGCGGTCTAGAAGGATTCTTAGCCTGTTGATTCATAGGGATCTGTGCACATCAGTCGTGTTTGTAACTGGCATTTCCTCCAGCCTACGGCCAGTTCTTTTGTGACGAGAACAAGCCCTCCTTATGCTTCTCACTGAGCTCATCCGTCCATCCATCTATCAGTCCCTATCTCCCTCACTTTCCCTCGTCCTGTCTGCACTGTCTCTCGCTCCGTCTGTGACACATGCACTACAAGAGCGCTCACACTCGGGGAGTCATGTTCTCATGACTGAACATGATTGACCCAGTGAATAAGGCATTAAAACCTCTAACACACTCACTGCGGCTGAGCAGCAGCTATAGATCACTGGGCAACGGCTTTGAAAATACAATGACTGGATTCAAAGTGCCTCTGGCGATGGCTATCTGCCATCTGGTCAGATCTTTGATACACAAAGTGGGACACTTGTTGAACTGCTCAGTGTGTTGTTTGTGAGTAGCAGGTTTGCAATTTGCGACAGATCGCAGATCATAATAATGTCAACAACAAGTACAGGACAGGCTGCGTGAGATAAAACGCAGCAACAGCATTTTAGTTGTTTCCTTTCAAGATAGCATTAATGTGACTGTACGTCTTTTTCTGCTTGTAGAAATCAGGTTGTTGCGAAGCAGTGAAAGGGCGGTCTTGGCAACCGCCCAGACAGAGTCATCAAGTGGATGACGTGTGATGATTACATGATTTTAAGCTCCAGCGATACTTTTTTTTTTGATTGCAGCTTCAAAGTGAAGCACAAACCCCTTAAAGATATTAGTCCAGAGTGTGAGGAAAAACAAACTGAATCTGGTTGTCACAAAATAGGCCAGCGGAACCCAAGGCAGGAAAATCTGTGCTTTGCCAGCCATTTTGAAAGATAATCAGCTACCAAAGAAGTGCCGATGGGGAATTTTGTAGTACACCTGCCTCCACAACAGCTTGGGTTTGCTCTTGCAGAGTAGCTGTGGACCCTGCGCTCAGATGAGTGAAAGCAGAGGAGACCACTCATTTATCCAGCTGACTGGAGAGTGAGTTGGTATGCTGCTGTCCAAGTTTTTCCTTCTTTATTAAACGTCCTTCATCCACTTTCATGTTCAGCAATCGCTTCCCGCTCTGGCTGAGCGTCAGCAGCGTGGGTGAGTGTTTGAAGTGGGATGGAGATAGACACAGTTGGGATCGTGTCAGAAGGTTCCATTTGGCTATTTTCAGTGTTGCATACTGGTAAACGCTTTCCAGACTTGACCTAAAAAAAAAACAAGGAAAACAAGAAAAGCACCAAGCCTGTGTTGGTCATACAGTTTCATATGACAGAAAGTAAATCTGAAAAGTGGGTTTTATTACGTTAACAGAGTCTCAGATTACTAATGAATTTTTGATGAGCTGTTAACCTTACAACTTCCTTCCTGGAAGTGCTCAATATAATGAGGGCACATTAACAGCCAGGCTTTTTTAGCCTAACCCACAAAGACCAGCAGACGGAAGCCTCAAGTCTAAATTCACTTACCAACCACACTATGAGAGCAACACAAGTGATGAAGGGGATGAGAACCAAAAGCAGGGGAGATCTTCTCGACCAAGCATCCCCACGATTCCCTTCATGAACCCCTGCAAGGAGGACGTTATTGACAATGTAACCAATCACACTTACACCTTAGAAATATGATAGAGGGCAGACCAATCCCCTTATTGAATGTGTGACAGAATACTCTGATGGAAATCAATCTTAGTTACAGCTAGGGACTGGTCATTTCAATACCTTTTGTTTTTGAGAGGTCATCAAATTACTTTTCTTTTTTTTTGTAAAGAAACGCTTCTGCCTTAAGGCTGCATATCTGATTACTGTACACAGCTGGATTCCTAATCCTAAACGAATGCCTCCCCCTCCAATAATCTACTTTATTTTGGAAGCTTTCACAAAAAAATCTGAACTTTAAATGCAAGTGAGGACTGTACCTGGTGTTTGTTCAGTACTAAGGCATGGTGGTGGCTCACAGGAGAAGTCAGTTGGTCCTTGAGCAGCAGTGTGTAAAAAGTCTCTGATGTAGTCAAAGTAAGGACCAGTCAGTAAGCCATGTTCCTGATAGTGACACTGGAAGCTCTGCATCGCCATTTCCTGTGGGAAATCAGACAACAAGCCAACCTTAAATACCTCAGTTATTCAATTAAATGTTCCTTAAAACAAGTCCCTCACTGTCTAGGTTATTACATTAATTTGGCATAAAATTAAGCTGCAGGGCTTATTTGCAAAACTAGCATAGTGTTAGTGTGTTTCCACATGCCCTGTAGGCCTGAACATTTCTAAGCGTTACCTGATGGAGATATACATACGAGTGCAGGCACCCAACGGTCTGCACAATATCACAGGTAACTTTGATTTTACAACATGTCGTGCTACACGCACACCAACACACTGCCAAAAGGGCTTTCTACCTGATCACTGATACTTTAAATTTTACAAAGGCACAAATTCAAGTACTGTTTGCAGAGAAGATGAGCAGCATAGACCACAGTGTCTCATTACCCACCAGCCTCTCGTGGTCTAAGGTGAAGCGTAAACTCTTGAGCATTGCAATGAAGAGGAGTACGTTGTCTTTGTTGGTGGAGATGGTGCCAAACGTGCTGGCCAGCTTCCGAAGACTTTGCTCCAGTGGATAGATATTTAACACCACCCAGCAGGTGCCAGCCTGAAGACGGAGAAACAGAACTATGAGCAGCTTTGATTCAATTCAAACCAATTTTATATTTGATTCTCTCACGTTGCATTATACATACCACTTCTTTGGGAATGTAACTAACAGGAATCTCATAATCATAGGGGATATTCTGCTTCTACAGAGGAATTAATGACAGGGAAGGATTTTTGTTTTTACTACAAATGATCAGGAATGGAAGCTCTTACAGAGATAATTTAACATGAAGCACAAAACAGAAGTTCATGTGTCAACGCACTATAAATATGATATGTATCAGTCTTGTAGTAACTCACCAATACTGGCAGCTTGTTCACATCATCAGTTATTGGTGACCCAAATTTTCCAGAGCAAAGATTCAAACTTGTTACCAGACTCAGGAGGAGACAAGGTGCTTTCAAGATCTGAGGGGGAAATGTATACCTTACATTACATAAGGTACAGCAATCGACATCTGCTGCGGTGTTGTTACTGAGCATTGATTTACCACATCCCTGAAATGAAAGTTGACCAGTTCAACCTCAGTGTTTTGTTTGAGGGTAGTGTGGTTGTATTACAGGATAATCAATTTCCCCCCCTTACTTAAAGGTGAGGATTCCAATGTCTTTGCCAGGCATAAAAGCCAATAAATAAAAGGCTGGGCAACATTTTAAGACTAGAAATGGAGCTAAATCTGTGGATCCAATTATTTTTAAATTTGATCTATAAACTATTTTAATGATCTGCTTTACCTAGTATAACCTTTTTCTCATTTTTGTCAATATTACAGTAAATTTACGATACATATATTTTAGACTGTCAGTGAAGTAAAGTGACACTCCCAGTTTAAAACTCACTGCTTCAAACGATAAACAATGAATTAATAAATGAATGTGCAAACTCGTTAGTGTCACATTTAATGCAAAATGCATTTTATCCTTTTATTAAAAAAAAAAAAAAATCAATTTTTTTACTCCTCTTAGCGTGTCACGTTACTGCCTCTTGAAGAGTGCTGCAGCAGCAGTACGTGCAGCATTTACTGTAGATCTCTTAATAACATTCAACTGCTTTTAAATGCAGCTCAAAAAGGAAGCATGCTTCATAACATGAACTTTTTGATGTAGTCCTGTAATGTTATATGATTGTAATATTCCCTTTATCAGTTTAGCACTTATCTAATAAAACAGTCAGCTTGAAGAAAACCACAAGGCTACATTTCTTTATAAAAAGCACAGTGGCATTTCATAACAAGTAAGCAGCTGACAAAAAAACAAAGAATGCAGGAAATGTTAATATAAAATAATATTCCTGTTATTTAATGAGCAAAGTTAAGAAAAATCAATGCCAGTATGGAAGCGTATACAGTTACACATATTACATATGTTAAAAACATTAAAAAATTAAAGGACATACTTACTTTCTTCCTCATATGGAGAAAGAATCCCAAGTTTCTCAAATGCAGTGCATGAAATTCAGTTTCTTCAGTCCAAAGACAGAGCTCATCTCTGTGTGTCTGTGGGTGTAATGTCCAAGCGTGTAGTGAAACTTGAGGATGGGCCGGCAGTCTGCTTTCACTTCAGACAAACTGGCGGACTTCTGACGTGTTGGAGTGGCCGCCTACAGGCTGAGTCATTATGTCGCACACTGACGCTGTCTGAGACTTTTCCATAAACTCCCACATATCAATTTGTTCGTCAGGATAAAGTGGGTGCTTGTTCTCTCGAGAGAATATTTCGCTTAGAATATGTCAAGGTTATTCCTCAAGCTGTTGTTTGGAAAGTGAAAATCAGATGAGGTAGTTCAGACGTTCAGCCGTGCTCTTTGATGCAGTACTTTTTGCTGTAACCTATTACTGTTTACATATTTTTTGATTATTTTGGACATACTTGGGCTCAAAAATACACATTATTGCATGTATAGGTGTTGCATAACCCACTTGTGAAGTGCATTTTTATACATTACATTATAGAAAGCAAGAATTCCATGTGTGGACTTGCGTAAATATACTCCAGTTAAAGGCCGATCTCTAACCACAGGGAAACGGCCAGTTGATGACAGTGTAATGATATTTTGATTTGAGGTTTCAATGATATTTTTAACTGCGACTCCCAAACTGAATCACCACCTGAATGGCTCCAGTTCAGAATAGCAGATAAAGAACCTGGTCTTTTCAGAAGCGTCAGACAAACTGATTTAAACAGCAGCCAGGATGAGAAGCAATTTTTGACAGCTATCCAGCCACTAATTTCTCCATTTGTGCCTTGTCCTGCCTCTGACCCGGAAATCATCTCAGCGCACAATCATGACGAACAACGCTAGGACTATACGAATAAGTTAATTTGTATTTAAAAATATTTGTCATTCAAAGAGATCTATTCTCAGTTTGTTCATGACAAATAAATATGACATCCATATTCTGTTTTCTTGTGCCATACAAAATGCAAGAACTTTCATCAACTCCATTAAGTGGCAGCAGTAAGCTAGTGGAGAGAAAGAGACACATTATGCAGCTGTGCATCATCTCATTTAATTCACATTGGTTCAAACACATAACTAAAGATGTCCCGTTTTGTTGCCACGGTTCCCCTCTTCTTGCTTCACTTGCTCAGATATCAGGTTGGAGGAAAAGAATTGAGAGATAAAAAACAAAACAAAACATAAGACCGGATTCTTGTGGCGTTGTTTGCGAGATAGCACCAGTTGAATTCCGCAGTCTCTCATACAGCAGCTTTAGTCTGTGCCTTGAAGCCATCAGATCACTCATTTATCCAGCAGACTCGTGCCAACAACAGAACAACCTGGAGAGCGAGTCGTTCTATTGCCGTCCAGTTTTTTTCCCTTCCTTCTTATTAATCATGCTTCAGAGAGGCAGTCGGAGTTTGGGTCATTTTAGTAGGTTGCATTTGAATATTTTCAGTGCTGCAAACATGTAAACGCCTTCGGGACCTGGACTGGAGAAACAAACAAAAAAAAAAAAGAGCACCCAAATAATGTTTATCATACAAAAACAGCCTCAAAGTACTGCTGAATTTTTGATGAGCTGTTGAACTTTAGAAGAATTGCCTTCCTGGAAGTGCCAACTAAAATGAAGACTCATTAGGAAATAGGCTTTATTAGACCACACAGGCCAAGAGTCTGTACAGCTGAGTTGAAGTTTTAACACTAAGGGCGATTCTCTTTAGAAGAGGTTCAAAATAGATACCCCAAATTAGGGTTTCTTTATCCAGAGAGGACCGTGCAGTCCTCTTTGAACTGTTAAAAAGCAGCAGCACAGCTGTGGTCCCGTGCTTTCTCAGCTTGCATTACGGACCATTTCTGCACTAATGCAGTTATCTGCCTGAATAACCGAAAGCCAAGAGTGCACTTCTGGAGAGGTTGTACACAGGAAAAAGAGTTTTGAGCTTAATGCTTATGCCATTGTGCAACAAGCCATCCATCTTTCACTGCTTATCTGGGTTTGGGTTGCAAGGGCAGCAGTCTGAGCAGAGAAGACCAGACTCCCCACACCAGCTCGTCCATCCGGGGGTGACACCAAGAGATTCCCAAGCTAGCCGAGAGATGTAGTCTCTCCAGCAAGTGTTTGGTCTGTCCATTGGCCTCTTCCCGGTGGGACATGACCACAACAACATACCTAGGAGGCCTAGTCAGTAGCTTGAACAATCTCAACTGCCCCCTTCTAATGTGTAGCAGCTCTACTCAGAGTTCCTCAAATGACTGAGAGCCCATTCTTAGAAGGAAACTCCTTTCTGCTGCTTGTATCCACGAACTCAAACTTGTGGTCACTACCAAAAGCTCATGACAATAGATGAGAATAAAAGTGCAGATTGATCAGTAAATTTAGACCGCTTTGCTTTTATGCTTAGCCCTCTTATTACTGCAAACGCTACTCCCAACCAACCAGACTCATGGAAGTAATGCTTCCTGTGAAGCTACATAGCATGTCTTAAAGGAGGTGTTACACCAACATGCACACAATTTTAATACCAAATAGGAATGTCTGGCAGGTTTGTTTAACATATTGATCATATTTTACTGATAAAAGTACACCACTATAAAGTGTTTTCTATCGGTATTAAACTCAAACGTTTTGTTGGCATTTATCCATAAGCCAGCATGGATGAATGAAATTGTTGACTCAACAGTACTTGCTGGGGGAAAAAAAACAAAAAAACGATTTGATGAACTGTTGCATTCTGTTAGAGATTTTACTCACTAATTTGTTGGGAATTTCAGGGCAAGGAAAGTTGATAAACTTACTGGGTTAGGGGTTTGATGGTTTACTCACCAGCGACAAAAACACACAAACAATGACACAAACTGCAATGGAGATGGTGACAAAAATCAAAAGCGTCAAGTTGTCGTCCTCCAGAAACTCTGCAAATGACAAAAAACAAAAAAACAAAACAAAAAAAAACAAAAAACAAAAAAATACACTGAGTACACTTTCCCCCCCATTATTTTCTAAGTTACATAAAGCACCCAAGTCCGGTGCATTAACTGCATTAACATTGTACCTGGTGTTTGTTGAGTTCTAAGGTTAGGTGGTGACTGGGATGTTTCTTGAGGAGTCGTAAATGTTTGTCGAGTACTTGGGCACGGTGGTGGTTCACATGAGAAATCAAATAGTCCTCGATCAGCTCCACGTAAGAGGTTTTCCATGTAGTCAAAGTAAGGGCCAGATGGTATGTGCTGTTCCTGATAGTGGCAATCAAAGTACTGCATCAATATTTCCTGTGGGAATCAGATAACATGCTCATTTGAAATAACTAAATTACACAATTAAGTGTACAAAAACAAATTCTGCCTAAAACTGAGTTTCAGTGTTCTCTTGCACAGTGAACCAGTGTGCTTCTACAAATTAAACTACATCTCATTTTAAAACTATGCATGTCACAGTCCAAACGCTATTTAAAATAAATATGCTGTCAGAAATGCATATAATGAATGAGGTCGATGATTACCCACCACTTTCATATGGTCAAACTTCAGCCACACAGTTTGGAGAATTTCAATAAAAATAAGCAGGCTTTCTCTGTTGGTGGATTTGTCACCAAAATTGTTGGTCAATCTCTCAAGACTTTGCTCCAATGGATAGATATTTAGCACCACCCAACAAGTGCCAGCCTGGAGAGGCATGTACAAAAACCATGAACAACCTTTGTCAAACAAAAATAAAATTAAAAATAGTAAAAGAAATTTGCTCATATTTCTTCATTTCATACATACCACCTCGTTGGGAACATAACTAATGGGAACCAAATAGTCACTGGGAAGATCCTGCTTCTATAGGGGAAATAGGGACCATCAGAGAGGTTTTTGTTAAAAAAAAAAAAAAAAAAATCCAACAGAATTGTGATTAAAAATTAAAAATTTCTTTTATCCAAGCATAGCAGACCTCTTTGGTTATCATATTGTCAGAAATAAGAAAAAAAGATTTCTGTAAGTTCTCCAGAGGTTAACTCTGGGCCAAGAAAAGCCCCGCAACATAGAACAAATGTGACATACATCAAGCCTGTAGCAACTCACCAACAGTGCCACTCTATGGAGATCGGTTACTGGTGACCCATATTCAAAGCAGAGAGTCAAATTTGTCAAGAGACTCAGGAGGAGAAAAGGCACCTTTGGGATGAATATGAAAGTATTGCTACATCATACAGTGTATATGCTTTACATTATGTATAGTCATTTAGAGTTATAAAAATAAATTTGGGATTGGTGACGTTTGTGTGCAGCAGCAGAAATGAGATTTCACCGTAGTCTCACATTTAAGTCTAACAGTCCCAGTATTGTTTAAGCTATATAAATGTAGCTATATATAATTTTTTAGGGTTTAAAACAGTATAAAACTAGCTGATGACAATAAAATCTTGCTCTAAGTGCCACCTTAAATTTACTGTCAAATATAGCATAAATAGTACAGTTTGACATAAGCATGGGCCACTGTTTAAAAAAATTAAATTATAAGGGAATTCAATTAGTCACACTGTAAAAATTTACACAAGTTTTTATGTTTACTGCCAAGTTAGCTGGGATTACTTGTAAGAGTTGCTCTGATATTTTGTTAAAACCAAGATAGCTAGCTCTAGTTTACGTTGAACTTGCCAGCGGGCAAGCTAGCAGCCCATCCCAATTACAGTAGCATCGTTTTAAGTAAGATATGAGATCAAATCCCATCAAACAAGGTCTCACTGCCCGTTTGGCCTACCTTGACATCCATTACCAACACCTGCACCCTCTGACTGACAAAAGTGAGGGGGAGGAGCTGCAAACGGCCTTTTATGGAAACCCTTGGACGCAGGGAGGGAAACCCCATGAAATATACATTACTCTAGTTGCAAGATCTATGCATCAAAAAATAAAAAAATAAATATTATTTAATGACAATACTGTTTATAGCCACTTTATATTAAATGATTAACCATGTTTTTGTTTTGTTTTTTTGCTTTGTTAAAGCTCTCGTTAAAGTCATTAAAAGAATTTCATTGAATAAAAAAATATTGAAATGATTTAATTTCAATATGCCGTTAACATAATTTGATATTTAATTACATTTTTGGTTATTTTGGATTTGATTAAAGCTATCTTAAATTGTTTGTTTCTTTGTAGTTAGTTAATTTGCTAATATCCATTTCCCTTTTGTATCTATTTTTCCAAAAATTCTCCTATGTCAGTTCCCCAGACTTTGGCAGCTTATGGTTTTTAAACATTTTGCTGTAACTGCTTTCCCTTTTATTACTTTATGATCAAATTTTACTATGAATCATGATCATCAAATAATTAGGGGGCAAAATACCCCCCACTTTTTCAAAACTTCAAACAGGCCAAATCAGCTCAGTCCCTTTCTGCTAGATATGGGCATAAGTGTAATATACTTAAGGTTGAGAGACTGTTAATGTGGAGATCATTCTGGGCTTTGAGAAATTACCACTGACATTTTCCACTATTTTTTCCAACATTATACAGGAATGAATTATGCAAATCAATCAGAAATCAGCTGCAGCCATGTGTCCTTTCACTGTCTTTCCATGTAAGCAGCTTTGGAAGGGAAGTATCCCTTCTTTTGCATACATCTGATTCAACTTCTTCATTCACATTACTGGGATGTATATTGTTAAGATTATTAATTATATGTAGAACTTCTTCATCATTTTATTATTTTGAGCTAATGCAATGAATGCAGGTTTCCAAAAGTCAGGTCTCAACTTCTCACAAGCTTGCGTGTTTCAATTACATGGGAACAAATAACTTCATTCGACTGAACACACAGTGCAGAAGTACTTTGTCTGCTGCAGTTGTAAGAGAAGACGTGGAAGGCATAGTCTGAGCTGAGGCAGGTCATCTAAAGCAGGCCACATCTAAATATAACCCAAACAGCTTAACACACTGCAAAACAAAAACACAACCAGGCTGTGAGCTGGAGACCTCAAGGGGACTTATTCAGATCAACCGGTGAGACCGACTAATATGACTAACATGAAATGCAAGTTAAGGTTGTTGTGTAATTTCCAATAGGACTGCTTTACATTAGCATGCTTATGTCCTGCATGAATAGTGGTGATACCGTGCCAGAAAGTTGCATGCTGTGCAGAAAGCACGATTTACAGACTGATAAGGTTTCTACATTGTATAATTCACCTTCATACTGTACGCGAAACTCCTATTTATGAAAAGAATTCAAGTGCCCCTTTCTCTTGCTTTTGTCTCTACATATAGAAATGGAGGACTTTGAACAGGAGGCCATAAATGAAGACTTGATTGAGTTTGCTATTCGAGAGAGCATTCAAGATGCCTACAAGCTGCCATGCTCAGTGCAAACAGATAGGTATGGAAAACCAAGAAGGGTCTTTAATGTTTATTATTAATGAAAATTGACAGTTAGGTCAATAAGTATTTGGACAATCATATAGATTTTGTAATTTTGCCCGCATACAATGTCACAGTGGTTTTAAATGAAACAATCCAGATGTGATTGAAATGCAGACTTTCAGCTTGAGTAGCATTCCCAGTATGCTTCAGATCACGATCTGTTCTCATTCTGAAGCATCATCCAGTCACTTTTGCAGCATTTGGCTGAATCCGAGCAGAGAATACAGCCCTATGCACATAATTCATCCTGCATCTAACCAAGTCAGAACACTGTTGAGGAGGTAGGCGTACCATTGTCAAAGTCTACAATCAGCAGAATGTAAATACAGAAGGTTTACAACAAGGTGCAAACCACTGGTTATGCTCAAGAACAGGAAGGTCAGATTAAAGTTTGCCAGAAAACATTGAAAAGAGCCTGCACAATTGTGGAAAAAACCAAGATTATATGAACTTTTACTATACTTAACCTGTACTTATGGACCTAACTGTATTGTTAGGAGTTGTTTATGTTCCAAATTAACAAAATTTTAAGGCAATCAGCAATCAAAAGTATAATGAAGCTCTATCATAGTGTTTCCAGAGTAAACGCTTTCATTTTCATAGGAAAAACACAAATAGTGTGGAGTTTATGAAGATTATGGCAGCCATTCAAAAAGGTAACGTTCCCTTTAATCATGTTTGCCTTTTGCATGCGGCATTAAGCAAAGACGTACAAGGCGGGCGCGCCTACATTTAAACTCACTGTTGGTCATAAATATTAAAAATGTTTCCCTGTGAGTCTCCTTGTGGCTCTTGTTTGTATCTTGGCAGGTGATGTGGATGCACTGCAGGAGCTGTCAGGTTGCGCGTCTGCCTTCAGAGAGAGTGACAGCAGGGGCTGGCTGCCTCTGCACGCAGCAGCTGTGCAGCTGCAGCCAGATGTCCTCCACACAGTGCTGCAGGGTGAGAGTGAAAACCAGTGTGATGTCAGCTTGATCAAACTATTTAGTGGAATGTAAGCTACAATTACTGGAGCAGTGGGCTGAGTAGATTTCCACCTTTAACGCAGTCTTAATGGTGTTCTTGTTGCAGTGTTGGAATCCACCGACCTGACCCTGGAGGAGCAGACGGAGGACGGTGATACGGCTCTGACTCTGGCAGCTGAGGCCGGCCAGGTGGAAAACATCAAGCTACTTCTGAAGCACGGAGCTTCACCGCACAACAACAACAGCAGGAATGAATCACCTCTGCTAATCGGTAGCACAACACACTCAGACAGCTGACACAACACCTTCATTATTATGCTTTTTTTTTATGGAATCATTTTTTGTTTTCCATTTTTGCAGCAGTGAGACAACGCTCATACGACATGGTTCTTTCCCTCATCATGGGCGGGGCCTTCGTAGAGCAGGTGTGTCTCACCAAATGGAGGGCCATTCACGAGGCAGCAAAGGTGAATGGAGCTGAAACTAAACTCAAAGTTCAGGTTTAAGCACAAAATTTTATTTTTCTCTAGTTTTTATTACCTTTCTTTCCTTCTGTGTTCATGTGTGTCCTATCCCTCACCCCAGGAGGGTTGTGCAGCTATTATGATGCTGTTACTCCGACATGGAGCCAAAATAACAAGCAGAGACGGTCATGGCGTGACACCGCTGGGGATCGCAGCTGAACATGGCAACTCTGAAGTTTTAGACATACTCATACACCACGGTAAAACAGTATATGTTGTATCATGCCTCATAAAAACCTCCTGACGGGTCAGACATTGCTGTATTTTCTCTGAACTCCACTAGGTGGTGATGTGAATGCCCAGGCAAGCAATGGAGACACAGTCCTGTATGATGCAACCGGATCTGGAAACCTGGACTGTGTCAAGCTGCTTTTGGAGCACGGAGCCAACCCAAATGTTGCCAGCTACGCCTGCCAGCTGCCCATCCATAGAGCTGCGTATGAAGGATACATACTGTGAGTTCATGCAACTTTAAGCTCACTCTCAAACCCAATAACATCTGACTACATTCAACAACATTCTAACTAATAATCCCCAAAATAAATAACTTGACCAAAAACACTTTCCTCTAATTTTGCAGCCAATTTGAATGTAAAGCATCTGTCTCCGCAGCTGCAGTGCTTTCTCTGTACTCATCGCCACAAAGAGCCCTCTGTTTATCACTGTTTTTCACTTTTGTCACTGAATAACAGTAGAGCTCACACCACGATCTAATGAACATTTTTGTCTCTGTTCTGTTTTGTGTTTTGCCCCGCTCTCTTCCTGTTTATCTCCCACCCACCCGATCTTCTTTCTCTTCAGAATCCTGAGGACTCTCATCCCTATCACCACAAAGAGAGCTATTCGCCTCTCAGGCCAGAGCCCTGTCCACTCTGCTGCAGACGGGGGGCAGGTTCAGTGTCTAGAGCTGCTTATCCAGAAGGGTTATGATGTCAACGCCCTGCTACATGCACACATCTCTGGTACGAATCAGCTGGATGCGCACGTGCACACAACATCAACTCAGGCCATTTAGTTATCATAGTGAGTTTCTAAATTATGCAGGACTAAAGCGGTACACGCAAATACACACATTCGGTAAATGCAAAGATGCACGCACATGCAAAAAACAAGTGCAGATGAAAACATCTCTTCAGTGACTGTGAAGGGTGCTTCAGCCCCCATCACTGATAAAGTTGTGGTTCATATTTGCGACATTGCACTGCAAAAAATGCAAATCAGTGTGAAGTTTATCCATCTGAACACAGGACTAAACATCTATACACTGGACTATATATGTAGAGCAATATGCAAAGTCAATGCTTGGTAATGTTGGGATTTTCTAAAGTGATGAAGTTTCCAGCCCTCTTAAAAAAGTCGTTTATATTTGTAAGCACAAGTACTGTAAATGCTGCAGAGAACTACGGGGACCTCAGGAAAACTCCTCTCTACTTCGCTGTATCCAACGGTGATGTGACCTGTTCGGAGAGGTTGCTGGCGGCTGGCGCGAGAACTGACCTGGATCCACTGCGATGCATACTGGTTGCTATACGTGCTGAGAGGTAAATAGCGTATGTACATACAGTGCTGTAAAAAAGTATTTGCCCCCTCCTGATTTCTTTGTCACATTTGCATGTTTCCTATCGTCACACATTTTAAAATTAGACAAAGCTAACCCGAGTAAATACAAAGTACAGTTATTTAACAATGATTTAATTTATTAAGGGAAAAAGCTGGTCCAACCAATCTGGCCCAGTGTGAAAAAGTAATTGCACCTGCTTGGTGCAATTCAACTGTAATTAACTATATTTTTTATAGAAAGCTGAATTTAGTCACTATTCACTATTCAAACCCAGGCCCGATTATTACCTACTGAATGAGGAATTTGTGTGAAAAAGTAAAGGAGGCTAAAATATCTCAAAAATCAGCTCATTGTTTTAAAATTTAAAGAAACTTAAGAACAGATGAGAAACAAAGTCATTGCTATATATCAGTCTGAAAAGGCTTACAAAGCCTTTGTAAAGCCAACATTTCCTGGAGTGCTTGGCCTACCAATATTACTCCAATAATTATGTCATGTTTACCAAAATGTGGCCTAGTCAAAGCCAACCACTTATTAGATTTAAAGGACAATTACTGTGTAAAATATTTAGTGTTTACACAGGTTACCTCTGTCTATTATCTGAAACATGCTCACAGGCAGTGTGACAAATATGCAAAACAGTAAGAAATCAGGAAGTACGATTAGGCAAATATTTTTTTAACATCACTATAAATGTAATTTGACTATACAGTACATGTAATTTCTGACTATTATCATTTCTGGTATTGGCAGCGCTGTGTTACAGCAGAGGCATTAAAATCTTCTTTTTTTATTTCTGTAACCAGGTTCGACTTGGTGGAGCTGTTGCTGTCCCATGGAGCAGAGGTTAACTGTTATTTCAGAGTGATCAGCAACACGGTGTTCCCCACAGCACTGCAGTACTGCTTCAGAGACCACGTCATGCTGCGATTGCTGCTCAACAGTGGATATCACGCTTACAAGCACGTATACCTGCTGTGAAATTAGTCGATATTCGATTTATTTACAGAGGATATGTAGTTCAGATTCATCAATTTCATTATCGGATTTTTGCAACCGTACAGGTGTTTCCAGTGCGGTCATGGTGACAGTGAAGAATTGGATAGTACCTGGACTGAGCTGCATAACCAAGCCTATCAGATTTACAGTCAACCGAAAGTCATCTCAGTAAGAGACACTACAGGCAGACACACAGACCATCTGTTAGCTAACCTCTACAATATGTCACTTCCCTTTTCTTTTCTTTTTCAGTTCTGTGAGTTTGTGTCAGTATCATGCCTTGCTCACGTTGTAGGCAAAGTGGTAAGGATGCTACTGGACTACGTCAGCCATGTCAGCATTTGTTTTAAGCTCAGACAAATCCTGCAGAGGAGGCCGGAGTGGGATGAGATTTCTGACATACTGGGTAAAACTGCAGAGACAAGTCTGTAGATAAGAAAAACGTGCAAAACATGCACTCTAAAGCAGAGAAAAACATGACATTTTGAAAAGTGATTTAAAAAGCTGGAGGTTATGTGTGTTTCTGTGTCCAAAGGGAAGCCACGGTCTCTGCAGCACTTGTGTCGACTGGTAATCAGAAGTCACATGAGCCTCAGGACCTTGAATGACCCTGAAACTATGGCTGCTGGTCCCTTCCCCCCAAGGCTGATGAACTACCTGACCTACAGAGAGCGTGACCTGTACGGTGACCTGTTATCTGTGTGAAACACGTTTTATTTATACATGTGACTAAAGTGTGAAAACAGCCAAAGTGCTCATTTAATGCAATACCTTATTTCAGTTGTTTTTTTACAGACTGAATTAAAAACCAAAAAATGAATGTCTAGTATATGAAATAGATGTCCCTCACACAAGTGCTTCAGTTCATGCATGAGGAGAGCTGAGCAAGTGTGACCTGGTCCTGGACCTTTGCAGGGTGACGTGTGTTAAACCTTGGATGCACGAGTGACTGGACCCAACATTCTTCCATAAGTGGGTCAAAAATGGCCTGTGTTAATTATGCCGCTTTTGTTATTGTGATTAAAAATCATCTTTGTGTTATATTTTATACTATATTTTGGTTCAGACAAGAATGATTTGATGTTTGAAATATTTTTTTCACATTTTGAAAATCGGAAATGAAAAAAAAAAATACAAACCAGCAACAGAACAATGTCAACATCCATTTTGTTTGTGTGTCGGTATGAGCGATACTTCCTCTCTTTATATTTTCTTTGTCCTCCTGTCTGTATGAAGTTTTGACCTATTTCTGGCTGTAATCCCTTCACACAGGTACATTGATTTTGTCGCACTGACTGCTGACTTTATGATCTTCGTTACTTGGATCTGAAATCTTGTTGTCTTCGATTGGCTTTTTTTCCTGGGGCCCAGTTGTGACTTTTGTCACTGTGATTGTGGTTTGCCGTTGGGAGCAACCTTCCAGCCGGCTTCTCATATGTGATGCAGCAAGCTCCTTTGAGAGCTCGGTGAGGACGACCCGTCATGCAGTTGCGATACCAGATACCAATGTGAAGCTGCACCACAGCACCATGGGCCACCTCTGTGTTTTACACTGGCAGGTGTAGGTGCCAACAAACCGTGGAATGTGATTAATTGTGTTTTTTTTTTAATCCTTTCTGGTATTTTCCTCCATGCCGTACCGCTGAATGCAAACTCTGTGCTGTAAACCTCTTCAGAAGACACTGCACAGGAGGCAACATTATCTGTGGTGATGTTGCGTCTTGTCTTTTTGAACCTAGTGCAAAACTGCTGGACCGGGATTTCCCCCAGATTCTGAACTTCTTCCCCTGACTGTCTCCCAATACAAACCCGTCCAGTTCTTGCATAGGGGATGCATGCATCACAGACTCAGAAGAACTTTTGGCTATGACAAGCTTGTTTGGCATCTACTGTAGAAATTTGAACCTCCCCCTGAACAGCACAAGCTGTTTATCTACAGTGACACAATCACTGTAAGTGGTAAATGTGTGCTGCCTGCTAGTTCTTGCTGTTTAAAATAATCTTCTTAACGTGTTACACTCTTTGTGTTCAATAAAATATATTTTCCTGACAGTCGCAGTTGACAATAATCAAAGGTTCCCATGAAATTCCATAGGAAATGATTACGGGTATTTTCTGGCCCACTTATGGAAGCTTGGGGTAGTAACACAAAAACTAAAACTTTGTACATGTATAAAAGGTAAGTTAAAAATGTCATTGGCGTAATATCAAAAACACTTTTTTAAGGAATAGTTGGAACATGAAATTATAACAACTTTTCATTAATTAGATATTGCAAGGAAAAGACCACACCAGATCCTTTTTGACCCACTTATGTGTCTAAGGGTTAACAAAATCTCAAGCCCACATGGCCATTAAAGAGATGACGGGTAAACCTCGCATTAATTGTTTCAGCCTTCTTTTTTAGTGTCTTGACAATCTGGTGTCTTAAAATGTAAACATAAAAGTCATAATATCAGTGAAATATAATAAACTGTGACATTTACAAAGTTGTGTAACCTCTGTGTCTTTATGACCTGATGACATCCAATTACCAAAGAATGAATTTATTGTTTTCTATTTGAGTTAATAGTCAGGAGTCTGTGCACAACCAAAAGAAAAGAAATCAAACGAAATCAATTCTTGCAACTGATATTTTTTAAAACCAAAACTTTTAAACAAAACGAGGTTTAGTATTAGTGGACATTAGTGAATGAAGAGACAGAATCTGTGGTGAGCACTCTACTGAATTTAAAGCCTGATTTCATGACCAGTAATACCCACTGTTCACCCCCTAACACAGCTTAATTTTCCTCTAGGTTTGAATTATTGGGAGGTATTGAAAGGTGGGATCTGAGGGAGAGCCCAGCCACCTTTTGAAGGAATCTCAGTGGCCACTACCCAAAACTTGTGGCTAATAAAATATATGTTACATTTTAGGTCCCATTTCTTTGGTGGGTAAACCAACTAAAGTTGGCAGAATTCAATATAAATAAGGCTTTTGTCCCTCACTCAATATGTTTATCTACTATTTTATGTGTTTATAAATTCATCAAGACTGGCATAAAAGAGAAAGAGAACTTTTTGCTGAAGGATATGTAGCGGCCAAGCCTGTGCCGTTTTTTCAACTATATGTCATGCGTCTTACTTCTTGTGTTGACTATATTCTGAGCCCAGTTGGCTATAAACAAAGGTTACAGACTACTACATTGACAGGACACATGGTCTCTGAGCTCACAGGCTTTTTGTGTCTCTGCCTCTCAGAGCAGCACCTCCCAAAAAAAGATGCTGCATCATGGTGCCTACACTTTAGTACGTTCCCCTCTGATCCCTCTCTTAAGGCCTGAACAGCAGCTGTGGAGATTAGAGAGGAGAGGCCACGGACACACACGGAGGATCTCCGTCACATAAACTCGGTTGGCCAGGACAGATCTGGTTCAGACTGGAGTGGGCTTCAGTGGCAGAAGACTGGATCCAGAATATGCCGACAACTTTTTTCTTTGCCATTAAGGACCTGAATTAACTTTGAATTTCTACTAGTTTCATAGTGGACCGTATCTTTTGTTGGAATTTCCAATCCCAAGCGTCTTCATTTTGGGGTCTACACCAGATCATAAGCAAATCAAGAACCGGCCTGTCTGCATTTCTGTCACTTCTGTGCTTATCACACTTTGGCCATGAGCTGTTTTGGGTATCGTCGAGAGCTGAGTAAGTATGAAGACCTTGATGAAGATGAGCTTTTGGCTTCTCTCAGCGCCGAGGAGCTGGCTGAGTTGGAAAAGGAGCTGTCGGACATCGATCCTGATGCCAATGTGCCCATAGGACTCAGACAGCGAGACCAGACAGATAAGACCCCGACAGGCACCTTCAGCAGAGAGGCCCTCATGAAGTACTGGGAGAACGAGACACGTAGACTGCTGGAGGATGAGTTAGGTGGAGCAAGTCCAAAACTGGTTAGTGTTAACATTTATTTTATTTTTATGTTTTGGTTCTGGTGTTCTATTAGTTTTGCTAAAGAACAGAGTAACTTAAAGTAACATTATTACAAATTCTTCTAGTAAGACGCTGTCCATATCACATGATCCTGCTAGCATTTCAAGATTTTATTAACTGTATTAGTCTAAAGAGCTTGGAAAGAAAAGCATCTGGACTTCTTTAGGTTGCTTGAAGACATTTCACCTCTCATCCGAGAAGCTTCTTCAGTTCTAAGGTCAAATGGTGGACAGTCCCAGATTTAAGTCCTAGCGGACTGTCCCCCAAGAGGGTCATGAACCCCCTGTTGATCCTCTACCTAGATCTGACCTTAGAACTGAAGAAGTTTCTCGGATGAGAGGTGAAACGTCTTCAAGCAACTTAAAGAATCCAGACGCTTTTCTTTCCAAGCTCTTTAGACTACGATGGTCTGGATGACTGAGAACCTTCACAGACATTAACTGTATTAAAATACAGGATGAAGAACAGGAGGAGGACTGTGTGACAGAAGAAACCAGTGAAGGAGAAGAGGACAAAGATGATGAAAATGAGAAGGAGCAAAAAAAGAATGAAAAACAAAGTGAGGAAGAAGAGGAAGCAGAGAACAGTGATGAAGAAGAGGAAGAAGAGGAAGAAGAGACGGAGAGTGAAGAAGAACCTGTAACAGAAGAGGAGGAAGAAGAGGACGAGGAGGAAGAAGAGCAAAATAATAAATCAAAACCTGAACCGTCAAAAAATTCAGGGCAGGTGACGTCGTGGGCCGAGAACCTAACCCTACTCAAGCCCCAGAGGGTGGAGCCTATTAGGCGGACTCCTCCTCCTCCTCCACCACCACCTGCTGACCCGAACACCACTGGAAACCCAACTGTAGTCGATGACGCTCTGCAGCGAGTGCTTAGAAATGACTCTGAACTCACTGAGGTTAATCTCAATAATATAGATGACATCTCACAGGTACAAATAAAATTCTTTCATAACAAACTAATTTCACAAAATATCTTCACCAACATGTCACAGGAAATGCAGATAACTATGGTTATAATAACAATAATAACAATTAGCTGCTGACTAAGAATTGCATGAATCACAAGATTAGGTTCATTTAGGTTTTGATCCTTCTGTGTGTTGCTTCACTTGTGTTATCATAAGGCAATCAAACAAAACAGGTTTGCAATCAGCTCTATCGTGAGTTAAACAAATTTGTGACTTTGTGAAATTTAAATCTATAAGCCTTGTTTCCAAATCCAGCAGTTTTGCTCAACTTTTAGCTAAATTTCACAACCTGGCAGATGAAGATACAGGAAGTTCTTTACAGGACACTTTGCAGGCCTTTTTAGCAAAAAGGAAAGAACTGAGCAAAATGCTAATCAGCTATCTTCCGATGATGACTACATTTTTTAGAAGCTTTTTAAATTTTATCCACATTAGCATCCTAGAAACGAAGTCATGAGATGATCACGTTAGTTTCCAAATTATTTCTCATTGACTAAAATAGATGCTTGCAGCTGTCACCCTGGCTGAGGCTGGCAAGTCCAAACCACCCATGAGATTCAGGGGTCGGCAATCAATTTTCCTAAGGAACCACATTAAAAACTGAATGTGTTGGAAGGTTTGGAGTGGTGTGGCTTTCCAAAACAGTCCCAGTTTCTCATGTGCTCTAAAATCGGTGTTTGATGCTAAAGCCATTCTGGTGGGTTGCACAATAGAAGCAGGAAAGTTACTCATACAAGTTGCGGCTAATTTTAGTATTGTTGTAACAACAGCTTGGGACCAAGGCTTTGTGTCAGTGTGGTAAACACTGGCCTTTCTGAAGTGTCAGATGACTTCAGGAATGTCCTGGCGTCTATGTGGTGGTGGCAGTGCTGAAGGGAACAGAATCATATTATCTTTCACTTTTTATAATGCTCTGTGCTTCGAGGTTCTGATATGTCTGAAGAATATAAATACTAATAATTTACTTCTCAGGAAACTCTCATCCGATTTGCTGAAGCATTGAGGTCAAACACACACGTGAGAACCTTCAGCCTCGCAAACACTCGAGCTGACGACCACGTGGCTCTGGCCATTGCTAAGATGCTAAAGGAGAACTCCTCCATCATCAGCCTGAATATAGAGTCTAACTATGTGTCTGGAAAAGGCGTGATGGCTCTGGTTCAAGCACTACCAGGAAACAACACCTTGACGGAGCTCAGGTTTCATAACCAGAGGCACATGTGTGGAGGACAGGTTGGATTTCTTCCTTCTCATTCCTATTCTGTGTCTGTGCTGTGCTAATGACATCATGACATCATCATGAGCAAACACGTCTTGCAGGTGGAAATGGAGATGGTGAAAATTCTGAGGGAAAACTACACCTTGATCAAACTGGGTTACCAGTTCAACCTACCTGGGCCGAGAATGAGCATGACAGGGATCCTCACCAGGAACCAAGACCGCCAGAGGCAGAAACGGCTGCAGGAGCAGAGGCAGCAGCAGCAGAACCAGCAAGGGGCACAAGAAGGAGCTGTTAACCCCAGAACCACTGCACTGGTTTGCAGCTTTACTTTGTCTAGCTGGACAGCATCCCGCACCCCACTTATACTAAAATTTATACTGACTTTACTGTTTTCAAAGTTCTTATTTTTGTGAAAAGGAGTAAGATCTTCATCATAAATGTTAACTCCAGAGCTGACGATCACTCCAAGGTCATCGTTGACACCAAACTACAGAAGGAAAACTGGGGATGCTAGAATAATAAGGAAATTTAAAAGAGAATGTAAAAATTAAATAAACACAAAAATCTCCTGAAATCTCATTAAAATGTTCCCTGATGGCTTTATGATTTCAATCAGAAGTCATATTTAATAGGTCATGGTATTTATTTTGCAAATTATGTCCAATTTTAGAGTAAAATAAGCAATAAATCAGGGTATTGTTGAGGGTGTAGCTGCCTTGTTATTGATAAATTGCTATGTCATCAGTCTGCAGTGATGTCACAGTCTGATACTACTCATTTTCGACACCTAGTTCAAAAACAAAAAAACAACTCCCTTTTAAAAGTTGGACGTCACTAACCCCTGGGTGAATGAATTTTTGGCCATTTATTATATACGTATTTTTATTTTTCACAGTTCCTCTACAATGCTAAATGAACACCTGCTCAAACTTTAATGCGCACCCTTTCACCTGCACAGCTTTTCCAGAAATATTACTTTTTCTGTTTATCCATTTATTTGTCTATGCGCCTTTCTCTGCCAGCAGAGAGGAACGCCAAGTTCATCACCTTACAGCTCACCCAGGGCCTCTCCCTGGTCCTCACCTAAACTGCCCCGAAACGACCTGGCTAAAAAACAGACACCCCCTGCGCCACCTCCTCCCCCACCTCCACCCCCGCCTCCTCCGCCACCTCCTCCTCCACCTCCTCTCCCGCAGCAGGAGAAGAAAAAGCCCACGAGGATGATTGCAGAGGTTATCAAGGCGCATGAAGCGGGCAAGAAAAAGACGGTGAAAACAAAAGGGAAGAAGGGGAAGAAGGGGAAGGTGTCGGGCAATGATGAGACAAACGGCATCCTTAAGGAGCTCAAAAATGCCCTTAGGCCAGTGTCGGTAGAGAGGAGAGGGGAGGAGGGCAGCAGGCCATCAACACCAATGAGGTCAGCCCATGATCAGCTGATGGAGTCCATCCGCAATAGCAGCATGCGCAATCTGAAACGGGTAAGTGGTGTTAAATTGATGTTTTTCTAGCCCCAAATTTGCTTCTAATTACTAATAGTCACATTAAAAGTTGTAGCAGACTGAAACTTGATTATTTAGAAGTGCACTCAGCCAAACATTGTGTGAGGTTAGAGTGCTTCGAGCTTTAGTGTGAGAAAAGTTCAAAATTCAACACTCAAGCAGAAACACAAGCAGACGAGCAGAGCTCTTGAAGCAAAATTGCAGAGTCTCTCGAAAGCAAACTGAACAAGCGGGGAGTTTAATTTAGATGTGCATGACACAGAGTCAGCGGTGTCTGAGTCATCTCTGTGGCTGACATGCTATGTTCTGTCTGTAGAGGGTAGGCAGGCAAAAGGCTACTTGCTGCCATCCAGCACTTTGGCGTGATCACAACGCTTTTACAGCCAGTAAATAATAATGACGGCCAAACAAGTCAAGTATTTTTATCTTGAAGAGGCAGATTAACTGATATGGAGGAAAATATAATAGGACAAACAAGAGGGAACTGCAAATGAACCCATCTGGACTTTGTTTTTCTGCTATTATTCTGAGAGCTAAACTATTTTTACCTCCGAGAAAAGAGATGCTTTTGAAGCTTTATTACAGCTCTTCACATTGTTAGAGTGGAAAATTAGCTCTGCCCTCAGATAGCAGGGTCTCCAAGTGTAGCTGTGAAATTCCAGCCACTTAATGCAGGTATTTATAGAAACTGTTGACTGAAACTTAGATAAAGACAGACACAACACCTTACCAGAACACAACACGGACCAGCAACACACATTTAACACATCTACTGACACCAGCGAGGACATTACGCACATCACTGATGCAATGCTCCAGTTTGTGTTAGTCAGAAATCATAATGACACAATGAAAATGCTGTATCCTGCTATTACAACTAGGAAAATAGTTCATCAATGGTAGCCAATGCGTCTGGGTGATGAATCTAATAGATGTAGCTAGCTAGCTTAGCATTAGACTGGGGAAGGGAGAAAACATTAGCTAATGTACAATAACAAAAATTTCATAAATATGTGAACCGATAAAATTACTTGTCGTCATGAGTTGACCCCTAGATTGCTTTAGATGCTAGCAGGTTGCCGCCATAGCCTATAGTGTGCGTGAAAGACAGCAATTTGTCTGCAAACACTTGCTAACTACTTACCGGGTGGTGGCAAACCTTGAAAAAGTGCAGCGCAAACTGGAAACAGAGAACGTTCGCCTTCAAAGTAAAAGTTGTGCATCCAACAGATTATAAAAGGTGGTTTACAGTTTGCGTGGGACTCTTCACAGTTTCACTACTGCTTGTGGAGTAGTTGGCAAGTGTTTGCAGACAAGGTGGCATCTGCCATGGAAAACAGGCAATCTGGTAGTGACCAAAACAACTTCAAGGACGTTTTTGCCAAATGGTTGGGGAATAAACATTTTTGCCCAGGCATCCAACCACCGTGCTTTCTTGCTTGATTTGGGTCAAACAAAATGTCAGAGAGATGAAAGTCACGTGGTGAGCAGTAATGTGCATTAATACCTCCTAGCTTGATTATATCATTGTCTTTTCCAGGTGGAAGTCCCTCGTCATCTACGATAAAAGTGTCATAAAAGACATCATCTTGTTATCATTTGGATACTGATGACGATGGACTGACCGACGGTGGTGAATGATGACAGGTGAAAACTTGGGTTTTCTAAGGAGGCCGACGTGAATTCTTACTCATAAAAAATACACTGGAAATTTGCACTGCAATGACAGCTTTACATTTTAAAAATGTTGAATTTGTTTTTTTTAAGTATTCACAATAGGAATTAGGTACATGGCATTTGTATTTTAATTTGTGGAAGGAGTGAACTAATTTGTTTACTGACAAGTTTTCTAAATCGCTGTTTCCTTAACTGTAAATATGATTTGTTGTGGTTGAACTGATTTAAATATAGCTAAATATAGCCACCTGCTGTTTACAATACCACTTGTGGAAGGATGCAGACTCTTTTCTGACTCTTTGGTTTCTGGATGAGCTCCATTTGAAAGAAAGGGGTCAGGCTGTTAAAGGGAAGAATGCAGTCAGTCCCACGGAGCCACTGTTTTTGTGTTTATCAGTGAGTCAGCTTACTGGTCAAGCGCCACTGATGCATATTCCCACTTCAACACACTCACAATACACCCACTCAAGATAACACGCATTAAAGCAAGGCTTTTGCGCTCTTTGAACAATTCACAGTGCATGACAAGCGAAGAAACTACGCAAACAAGCGTGATTAAAAATTTTATAATATCAAATAAAAACCAATGAGCCCCATATTTGTTCAGCCCGGTGAATGCCAGTGAATGGCACAGCCTATGACCAGTAGCCTAGCTTGGGACGACTAATGACAACTAATGTTTGCTAATGTTAGCCACCTTTAAATAACTTTTTGTAAGTACCAGCTGTTTTTTAGCAGTGTGTGCTGAAATGTATTTTTTGGATGTGTGTTACTTTCTAACAGTTGGTGTTTCTTTTAAGCTACACCGAGTTTCTCCAGAGGTTTTGCTTTTTGGATAAGCTGCCATTGTAAACAAGAACGTGCTCTTCATGACTTGCCTGGTTAAATAAAGGTTCAGTTGACTCACTACACCATTTTGTGGTACAAAGTGGTATTGCACAAATGTCCAGGCCTAGTTCAACTTCAGCTGATATCACTTCAACTCAACATGCAGATGTTTGAGATATAAAGTTATAGAGCAGCTTTAGTTAACTTTGGAAGGTTTTAATCCTCTGAGGTGTAAGTCATCATAACCTTAACCTTACCCAATAAACCCTGTTGAATAGATTTTTTTTAACGTTTTGAATAAGAAATAGAATAGATTTGACGCATGTCTGTAATTCAATTCAATTCAATTTTATTTATATAGCGCCAAATCACAACAACGGTTGCCTCAGGGCACTTAATTTTGTAAGGTAGACCCTACAATAATACATACAGAGAAAAAAAACACCCAAATCAAATGACCCCCTATGAGCAAGCACTTTGGTGACAGTGGGAAGGAAAAACTCCCTTTTAACAGGAAGAAACCTCCAGCAGAACCAGGTTCAGGGAGGGGCGGGGCCATCTGCTGCAACCGTAAAAAGGATGATTTCTGTTTATCTTGATTTGAAGACTCGGGAGAGCATTTTAATAAAAATAAGAGGTGGCATCATGAAAGTAACAATAAATATTTTTAAATGCAGGAATTTATTGTAATCCTCCGTAAATTTAAAAGAATAATACTAATACAGTGCAAAAGTGGCATAAGTACATTCACCAGTCACTTTGCGAGGTATATCTGACGTGTACTAGACTGAACTCCCTTTTAGAACACTGCCTCAGTTCTCAGTGGTATAGATTCAAAAACCTGCTGGAAACATTCCTCAGAGATTAATAGTCCATATAGATAGTCCATATTAACTGTCAGCATCGCACGGCTGCAGGTACACATCCATGATGCGAATCTCCTCTACCAGACCCCAGAGGTGCTCTATTAGCTTCTATCTGACTGTGGGGGCCGTTTTAGTACATAAACTCATTGTCATGTTCAAGAAACCAGATTATCTGAGCTTTGTGACATGGCAACAGTATCCTGCTGGAAGCAGCCATCACAAGATTGGTAGACTGGGGTCATAAAGGGATGAACAAAGGGCAGAATGGATCCATTCTTTAAGGTTGTTTACACCAGAGTCTGATCCTACCATCCGGATGGCGGAGCAGAAATTGAGATTCATGAGAGCAGCCAATGGGTTTTCCAATATTCTATTATCAAATTTTGAGAGCATCAGTTTCCTGCTTTTAGCTGACAGGAATGGTACCTAGAGTGGCTTCTGCTGTTATAGCCAATGTACTCCAAGTTTCAGTTAAATGCATGCAGAGATGCTCTTTTGCATTTGGCTGTAACAAGTGGTTTTTGAGTTACTGTTGCCTTCCTATGACCTCAAAGCAGTTTGACTATTCTCCTCTGACCTCTAACAAGAAGGTTCTCTCATCCAGAGAACTGCCACTCACTAGATGTTTTGACCTCTTTTGGGTTACTTATATTACCTCTCTTCCCCATTCTGATCCTCAGTTTGAACTTTATCAGGTTGTGGTATGCCCTGTTAGAGCAGTCACACTGACATGATAGTCAGGTGCTAGTGAGATGACAAATCAGAATGGAAAGAAGGAATGACGTGTCAAGAAGAAGATCATATGAGGTGGGGGATGAGAGTTGAGAGAGTGAAATCAAGAGACTGAGAATTGTGATCTATTAGTGTCAGCCATCCTAATCCTGGTCTTGTGTTTGTTTATATGTCTTGGAAGAGTTCCCCAACTCCTAAATCCACAGAACAGCTGTTCAAAGACAGCAGTGTCAGGCCCTGAGAGGTGGCAACGGCCAGAAAACTACAGATTTGATCAGGACCGACAGTCTCCAAAGCACCAGTCACTTGATCATTGGGTTTATTGTGCATCAGAAGGCTTAGGTTTCAACATTCAAGATTCAAATTTGCTGAAAAAATATGTTTTTTATTTCACATATAGCCACTGAGTCTGAAGACTTCTTCTCATTGGTGGAAGACAGGATGGAAGACATAAAACGTATTTCAATAAGCTCACTACATTGCACAAATTTGCACAAATGAAAGCTGCAGAAGTTGCAACAATAATCTAGATGTGAGAAGTCTGAATATAGTTAAACTGGGCTCCTATGGAGGGGACTATTTATACTGGAAACCATTCTATCAGTGGCATCCGATGCACAGCAGCTCAGTATACACAATACTAGCTAAGTGTCCTGCAGTTTAAAAAAAAGAAACAACTTCCTCTACTCAAGCACAGCACTTTGTCATGTCTGTCAAGTTGTAAATAGAGGCATTCTTCCATAAAAATCATCGATAAAGAGCAGAGACTTCCTGCTTGTAGATGCACTCAGGGTGGTCACTACACTATCCCATATGGAATTCTTGCCATGATTTTAAGGATGTACACTGGGTTTAATGCTCTGCAGAGAATTTTAAAACCCTTTTCTGAACCACAAAAAATGTTAAGCAGGCAAGTTTACATGTATCACATATTTTGCCAAAGCCACACATAACCCAGAGCTGTTAGGCCTCTGAGTCACAACATTCGGGTTGTTTGAAATATTAACATAGGCAGCTACTGCTGCTGTTAGAAGAGTACAGTTAACTATTACAATGATGAACTCCATTGATAAAATGTCAGTGGTGAGTCAGGGGTGAGCAGCATTTTATTTTTCGTAGGGTCAAAAGCTGACACACGTAGTGCCGAATTATGTTAACGTGGTAGATTATTTTACAATAGACTATTTACTATCGCAGAAAGGCTGACTGTTTAAGGAACACTTTTTAAAACACTTTTATGTGTTATGTGCCAATTCTGATATCCCCGTGTTGGCTTTGTTCTATATCATTATAACAGTGTCGCTCCAGGATCAACTTACCAAGAAATTAGCTAATGGTTTTAGCTTTTTCCACCAGATCTCAAACTTATGACATCACAAGAACGTGATTGGTCAGTGGCTTTTAATCTTTTAATCTGGCTTTCAATGCTGAACCAACATTATTATGATATAGAAACAACACCAATACGGGGATATCAGATACACCGCATTTAGCTGTGCTGTCACTGTGTACAACAATCTGTGGGTTGATGGATGGGAGTATCAAATTTAACCTTTGATCAAGGAATTATATTGGCATAAATATAATTGAGTAATTTATCCAGTTTGTCTCACTGGCCAATGAACTTGCCCAACATCCTTTTTGTTTTTTCAATAAACTGGCTCAGGGTCATTGAAATACTAGTTACAGTGAAAGTGGTAAGGACATATTTAGTGGTCCTCTGCATTCACTAACTGAAAAATTCCATATTCAAAGGAAGAAAATGACATAATATCTTTGAAAGCATTCCCATTAAACACACAAAAATTTCACAGAAGTGCTTCTGCTTATATAAAAGCTTTTTCTCTCTTTGTGTGTGCTGGTCTCTGTGGAAGTAGTCTATCAAAGTAGGAGCACACTGATGGAAAGTGCCATACCTGCCCTAATCCCTTTCATAAGCTCACCAGAAGACAGGGAAGATAACAGACCAGCTGATGTGGCTATTTACGAAAAATAAATGACCAAAGCACAGAGCTGTTGTGGTCAATACATGTCTATAAATAACATGGAAAGGCCAATTATTATTTCCTCAGTCTTTCTTTCTTGTGTTTGTGTCTGTCTTGTGCGTGTATATAGCTTTCTTCATTTACTTAGAGTATAATGCATTTTGATATTCATCAAGTGGCACCAAATACAAAGAAATGCATGCTTAGATTTACAGACTCCTGTCAAATAAGGTAACACAGCCTCAATGGACTGGACTACTATTATCTTGTTACCTCACATGAGCTCATTCTGATCACAAGGGGGAAAAAAAAAAAAAAAAAAGTCTTATTTTTTTTAATTTTAAGAATCAACAGCTGAAATTCACAGTCAGGACTGCAGCCATATTTTGCCCTTTATTCTACCTGGGTCAGTAAAGGCTGTGATAATCCTCTGTCCAGCTGTTTCCAGATCTGTAGGTGATGGGACCTACATTCCTTGCTCACATTACATGCTGGACTGACATGATTGTGATCTCCTTTCATTTTACCTCTTCATTATAGAAAAGGAATGTTACCATGTCTTGTGAGACCTACAACAAAAGATTTACCAGTGGTTTTGTACGAAAGGCAACGATTGGAGGAGACATCCATTGTGACAAGATGTGAAGGTTAAAACAAACAACAAACATAGCAACGAGTCCAAATAACAAAATACGTATATATCAACCTTTTATTGGAGTGTACATTGTAAGAGTCATTATTCGTCCAGCCTTTTTGGTAAGACTTGGCATTCACAACGTCTTATTAACCGAGTTACCTACAGAAGCTAACATCAGCAAAACATGGCTAGTTTTTCTCCCAAGAAGTATCTTAGTATTTGACCAAAAAAAAAAGAAAAAAAAAAAAAAAAAAAAAAAAAAAAAAAGAGGTCAGTTAGAAAATCAAGCAAGTGGCAATTTGTCTCTCAAAGACATAATTTGAAGGAAATATTTGTTTTCTTAAACAGCAAACAGAAGGAAAGGAATTATAGTTTGAAAAGCTTTAAATGTTTTCAATCACAGTATTTTTCAAGAAACTTCACGCACTGCGAGTGTTGTATTGGCCTTTTTTTTTTTTTTTTTTAATTATCCAGAAACGTATTAGCAAAATTACCCAGACTGGAATGCTAATATGCTTTAAGGTTTAATTACTAAACATGACAACTTATGACACAGCAACAGGTTTTAGATTTTTTTCCCCCTTTCTTGGCGAGCGGTACTCCTCACCCTTAGTTCAGTTCACGGTTTTCTCTGCCACGTTTATTGTTCTGGCATAAGCAGCTAGCATATGGTTAGCTAAACCATACCAATCAGTCTTCATGATGCTTCACTGATTATGTACAGGTTGGAAGTCAGGTTACTTCTATTTTTGAGGCCAAGGGTTTAATGTGTGCTATAAACATATGCTAATGGTTAATGTTTGCCAACAATAACAGAAAATATATTACTTTATGATAAATGTTAACATTTTCCATTTATGGCT